TAGTTTCTGCGAAATTTCGAAATTTTTCAAAGTTAAAATATTCATCGAACTCGTAGAACCGTATCTTGGTACCTTCTCGTGATTTCAAGATTCCCATTCTGCGATAGAAGGGAATACTATGCGCACGAGCGGCTCCTGTTTGTTATTTACTCGGAGTTTCGAGGTAGCAGCTAATGATCCGAATCCGAAGGAGCTTCGGGCTATGGACGACCGTCGCTATGTTGCAAACTTTGATCGCACATCTCCTTCAATACCTACTATCTCGTATCCTCCGGGTACCTCTTTGATGCATCGAGAATATTGTATATATGTATAACTCGGCTACGTCCGAAGATAGAATTAAGTAACAATGAACGTAAACGAAGAAAACTTACAATAACGTAAAATTAACAAGAGAATCATAATCGATATTGAGATATAATATAATGGACATATAATAGAGATATCAGATTGTACAATCCCAGTCGTCGACGTCGTTATATCGACCCTTACATTTTTTTCTTTTTATTTTTTTCCTTTTTTTTTTTTTTTTTTTTTTTTTATATATTACGATCATTGCCATCATAGAGAAACTAAGTTGACCTACGGGGATCGACGAACTATCATCAAATTTTATGACTTCGCGAACTTGAAACGAGCATTTTCCGTCTATCTCAAATCGTATTAGATCGAGGAATACGTTTCCCTTGGTTTTCTTGCAACCCCGTGTACGTAAGTATAACCGAATTGTATTTCATCGGGGTGAGGGAGGGGGAGGGGAAGATAAAAAACATCACGGAAGAGATAAAGCAGTAAAAAGGAGAAAAGAAAATTAAATGAAAAAAGAAAAAAAAAAACAAAGAAATATTCATTATAACGTTACTACTATCTATCACATTGAGATTGGATCAATGAAATGAAAAATAATTAACTGATTAATTAGATCGATTAGCACGAGAGCGAAAAAGACAAAGAGAGAGATTTTTACGTAAATAATATATAGATAAGTTCTCTCTTCTTTTTTTATTTATTTATTTTTTTTGTTTTTTTTTTATCTTCGTATAAGTATAAGACCAGTTTTCCCTTCGAGAATATTAACAATGGGAGGAAAGAAAAATATGAGAAAGAAAGACGAGAGAAGACGGAGGAGCGATGTCAAAATAATATGGATCAGAGATATTAATTGTTAATGTGATAACATACATCTGTCTATCTCGATAGACAACGCGTGACCAAACTTGATGAAGGTATGACCAAAGTTTGATAGAAAAAGAAAGAGAGAGAGAGAGAGAGAGTGAGAGAGGAAATTAACGGGAAGGGAGAAACGCAAACATAATTGCTAATTGTAAGATAATCGATTTATAGTTATTAACGCAATAATGGCAACATTGGAACTAACCGTTTGCATATTCATGTCGGAAAAGTCGGCTATATCTACTCACGGCCGCCACCCTCTGCGAACTCTCTGAACAACCCTTCAACCCCCAACTCTGCCAACCTTTTGCGGCACGACAACGACAACGACAAACACAACGATGACGACGACACGTTGTTACTATGAACGAAATGCTGTCGTTATGACGCCTACGAAAAAGAAATCCACGAAGAAAAAAAAAACCCTTCCTCCTCCTCCTCCTCCTCCTCCTCCTCCTCCTTCTCCTTCTACTACTACTAACCTCTAACCCCTACCCTTAAGACTTTTTTCTCCCTTCACCATGGAACCTTGGCCGTATACGTGACTATATACGTGTCGTAAAGGTTTTATAGAGTCGGAGTAATGTTTCTGACTGCATTGTAATCGGAAGGAAATGATGCCTGCGTGAAAACGGGAATGATGCATCGTAATGTCGTGCTAAAGAATTCAATTAAATCGTAGGAATAAAATATATAAATATATATATATATATATGTGTGTGTGTGTGTGTGTGTGTGTGTGTGTGTAAAGTAATAGAGTATATATAAAATATGAAAAAAAAGTGAGATAGAAAAAGGATAATATATGTACATACGTATGTATTTAAATCTTTGTCTGTTAAAAACAACAATGTCTTGACTTTTTTAGAAGAGACATAAAAAAATATTGATGAATTATTTCTACGACAGATCGTTAGTCATTCTATGTACATATACATGTATACATACATACATACATACATATATATATATATATATGTGTGTATATTTATATATTCTAAAGGTCTAGAATTATTTCCAAAAGATGCAACACACACACACACACACATACACGCACACATATAATCTTCTTAATCGGCGTGTCGCGATTGAATAAACGTATATATACATGCATACGTATATTCATTCGTATATTCATTCGAGTAAAACACGTGCTCATATAATAGTATGTCAAGCTTCGTGTGTCTCTTGGCTCAGCAGTGTTCCTATGGCCTCCAGGAGGAGGGCTTGTCAAAAGACAGCTGTCTCTCGTCGTAGGAAACCTCAGGGACACAGACACTCTCTCTCTCTCTCTCTTTCTCTCTCTCTCTCTCTCTTTCTCTCTCTCTCTCTCTTTTTCTCTCTCCATGGGGTCCACGTTCCAGGATCGTAATTAGAAACGACGATTCTTCTCCCCCTTCTTAGCACGACTCGCCAACTTTTTGTCAGAATGTATTCATCTGTTTAACGTTACTACGAGGATAAATTAAATTGGATATTTATTATTGTCTGTCGTCGTGGTTGTGTACGTCTTAATAAAATATTTCATTAATTAAATGATATTGAAAGTTTTCTTTAAATATAAAAACACCTTGGAATATATTATGAAATTATATTACGATTGAAACCAATCGAGATTCATAATATATTTTCAATTGAGAAAATCGATCGATCAATCGATTGATTGATCGATAACGTGTCTTTCATTTTTATATAAAACTTTATAATATATCTTGAGATCGTAAAATCATTGACATTTTCATATCGCATTATTAATCGTTTACATAATGAACCACGAAACCGCGAGTCGACGAGAGGCACGGATCGATTCTATAAAGCGAATAAACCGCGTGGTTATGGTTATTATAGTACACGCAGTTTTGGTACTAAATAATAATCTTCCAAAATAATCCTATGCGATAACCATGGTTTATGATATTCATTAATTGACAATTGCATCTGTTAATGTTACTACCGATGTGTCACGGATTGCTATATAAACGTAAAATGATTTCAACGTTATCGATATCACAATCGCCCATGATCTGATATATGTATGTATCTATGTATGTATGTATGTATGTATGTATGTACATAGAAGAATATTTATTCCATCTCTACGTGTGAGTGCCTTTCGATGGAATTTATAAAGGACTCGCTAAAGACTTCGTTAGTTGAAAAAAAGAAAAATCTCATTTCCTTGTACGACCCATTATCATTCGCTTCGTTTATTAATCGTAATGTAAATTTGTACTTTTTGAAAATCGTCGAGAAGTTTAGAACGAGAAATGATTTGTCTCTCTCTCTCTCTCTCTCTCTCCCTCTCTCACTCTCTTTCTCTCTCTCTCTCTCTCTCTCTCTCTCTCTCTCTCTCTCTCTCTCTCTCTTTTACTTGAGAAAGCAGGACAAAGCTCTTAAGAGGAAGTACGTCGTTGTGCCAACGTAAGAAGACCGTAATTATTTAGCTCGTAACGTTCGCTCTTATGAATTATGAGATTGTTTATAAAGAGGATAAGGATAAAAAGAAAGAAAAAAGAGAGAGAGAGAGAGAGAGAGAGAAAGAAAAAAAAGATAGGTCGAGCGATTTTAACGATTAAACGTGTTCCTTTCTTCTTCTTTTTTTTTTTATTTTTTTCTTTTTTTTTTAAATCTCTATTCCCTCTCTTTTTCTTCATTGTTACAGTGCCATGCGCGTCCTGCTATCGAAATTACCGAGGCCGTGGATCGTCGACGAGAAAAAGGACGATGGATACACGGCTCTTCATCTGGCAGCTCTGAACAATCACGTCGAAGTTGCCGAACAATTGGCGCGCGCTGGAAAAGCCGATCTGGATTTGCAAAATGTGAATTTGCAGACCGCTCTACATCTCGCCGTTGAACGACAGCACACGCAAATTGTTCGAGTACGTATAAGAGGGATATAATAATTCTCTAATAGAAAATAAATTAATAATCGTTAGATAATCCATATATTGAAATTATTTATATCAATAGATTTATATAAATTCATATACGAATTCATATAACGTTATCCGATAAATCCAATCGTTTAATCATACGAAAATTTTTCTTCGAATATATCCCGTGCGCGAACTCGTTTACAATAATAAATAAAGAAATAAATAAATAAACAAATAATTACTTTGCTTATGCATCTGATAGAAATGCAATGATTTTGAAAGTTGAATTTCAATAATTATCATTCTTACAGTTATTGGTAAGAGAAGGTGCGAATTTGAACGTGGCCGATAAGGACGGTGACACGCCCCTTCACGAAGCACTGAGGCATCACACTTTGTCGCAGCTGCGACAGCTGCAGGACGTGCAAGACGTCGGTCGTCTTCTAATGGGTCTTGGTGCTCAGGGTCAGGACAAGAAGAGTAGTTCCTTCATCGCTTGCTTCCTGGCAGCTCATGGTGCCGATCTAGAATTGAAGAATAAAAAGGGCCAAACGCCTCTGGATCTATGTCCCGATCCAAATCTTTGTAAAACTTTGACAACGTGTCACAAAGACAAGGAATCGTCAGTATCATTTTTATCGCACTTTTTCATTTCTATATTTTATTTGATTTTATTGTTTGTTCTTTTTTCCATTATCTTTTTTGTTTTTTCTTTTTTAAATACCAAAAATCAATTTCAATAAAACGATAGCGATAAAAAGGGTAACGAGTAATATAAAAAAAAAAAAAAAAAAAAAAAAGAAAACAAAGAAAGAAAAAGAAAAAGAATGAAATTTGTGTCCTTCCCCCCCCCCTTCTGACTTCATAAAAATCCTTATTCTTAGGCACGACATCGAAACCGCAGTACCGTCGGCAGCAATCGACGAATGTCTGGTTTGTACCGATGGAAAACGTGAAATGCTCTTCAGTCCGTGCGGACACGTTGCCTGTTGCAACGTTTGCGCACCAAGAGTGAAAAAATGTCTAATCTGTAGGGAAAATATTCTTTCGAAATTGAAGGTAAACGATGATAAGTTAAAAAATTAAAATATTATATATTCCTTCGAGATTTCTTTTAACGATTACGATTATTTATTATTATTGTCCACAGATCGAGGAATGCGTTGTTTGCTCCGATCGCAAGGCCAATATCCTGTTCCGTCCGTGCGGTCACATGTGCGCCTGCGAAAGTTGCGCTGCCTTGATGAAAAAATGTGTTCAATGCAGAACACAAATTCAACATATGGTACCGCTCTCGATTTGCTGCGGTGGAGAAGGTGATGTCACTTACGTTAAGGGGTGCAATGCCTCAGGTACAAAGATCTCGCTTTGGCCAGAGCGTCCTTGCAACCATTATTTCCCATTTTCAAATTAAACTCATTAAATATTTTTATTAAATCTTTAACACAATGATTCGTAACATATACGTTCACCTATATGTAAGATTAGTTTATTTGATATTGTTATATACATATATATATATATATATATAAAAAAAATAAAGGGAAAAACTTGCCTTATGTCCCTGATAACAAATGCGAAGAAAATCGAGAAAATGTATTAGGATCATCAAACGAATTGATTTTACATTTGAAGGAACCATATCGGAGGTTAAAGCTGACGTAGAAGAAGAACCAGTGCCAATACCGACCGTCAATACCAATACTAATACCAGTGGTGGGGAAGCTCTTTTGATGAACAATGGAAGTCGAGACACGTCTCACAGCGATATTCAAAAGCTTCAACAGCAATTGCAAGATATCAAAGAGCAAGTCAGTCTCTCTTATGTATTTTCTTTGCCGTTCGTTTATAGACTTTTTGAATAAATAATATTTTCTATAGGATTAATCGAGAAAAGATATATATATGTGGGGGGAGGGAATGGGAAGAGGGTGTGATGATGATTTCGGTAACTTTTTTTTTTTTTTTTTTTTTTTTTTTTTTAAGAAAAAAAATTTAATCTCTTTTTTTCTCTCTCTCTTTCTTTTCAGACAATGTGTCCCGTTTGTTTGGATCGTTTAAAAAATATGATCTTCCTCTGTGGACATGGAACCTGCCAAATGTGTGGCGATCGTATGTCGGAGTGTCCAATATGCCGCAAAGCCGTAGACAAACGCATTTTGCTCTATTGAAGAGACTGACCGTTAGTTCGAATTAGACTATCGGAATAATAATTATCTAATAACGTAGTAATTCCTTATTGCGCATCATAATAACGCCTGGGATCATAACGACCACGAACTTTCCCATTTCCTGTCATCGCGATGGTCCTATTAATTGCATGTTCATTATTGAGAAGTATGTATACACGATCGTAAAATTTACATTAAAGCGTATGTACACGTCGTATAGGACTTTTAGCGAAGATCCATATGAATAACAAAAAGTATAAATGTGTAGTAAAGAAAAAAGAAAAAAAAGAAAAAAAAGAAAAAGAAAACGTAATACGAAATGCATAACTTTCGACTAATTCAAGTCTTATTAAAAATGTTTATTCGCTTTTTAAATGATGCCATGAATATTAGTAGGATCGAATGTTTACGTAGTATAGTCAATTTGGCATTAAATTTAATAGAGCAATAATAATAATTTGGAGAATTAATTATCGATTTAACATTAATTATTCGTAAAAATAATTAACAAGGAATTTAGGATTTTTATTGATTAATAAAAATCAGAAATAACTTTACTTTTATTATATATATATATATATAAATTAATTAGCGTTAATAACCGTTATTAAATACTTTTAATTAACATAATTTGTACCGGAGGATACATAAACGATTATGTAGGAATAGGTCGCCATGTTTGAATTAATAAGGCTATAATCATCATGTTGTTATTATTCATATGTATGTAGTATTTGTTGTTGATACAAGAGAACTATATACTTAAATAAGTACTTCTTATATTACTTAATACTTCCGTATATTAGTAATACGTACAACAACTGCCTTGTTTACATTTTTCATGCTTAATTGTTGACTATCATCATCCATAGATTGAACATTTGAAAAAGAAAAAAAAAAGAAATAATCTTTCTATATCTTACCTGTTAAATGAGAATGTATGATTAGTATGTATGTTCCTAATACACATCACTAATTTGATAAATATAATTTTATGTAAAAAAAAAAAAAAAAAATATCGAAACTATTATATAAAAAAAAAATTTCTTGGTAGATATATTTTATTGCAATTATCCATAAAATACTCTTCAACGTCCATTTATATATATATATATATATATATATATATATATATATATATATATATATATATTATGTATATGTGTATACACATACATACACAAATTTATGAATATGCATGCATCAAATTACAAATATTGTTATTATCATAAGAAGAACTTCTTTGTCAAAATAATAACAATTCTTGTTTTACTATAGTAAATTTTGCTATTATATTATAAGTAGAACTTTATAACTAACGTAATACGAAATTATATTAATCAATTGCATTAATAATATAATCAATATTTAGATGAGACTTGTAGAATATCAGAATCATATATAACGATATTATTGTCAGGAATGTGATAATAATTGTCAATGACAAGAAAAGTCTTCTAGTTGACAAAGCTTGTTTTATCGAAACATGTAAACATTATCATTATTTTCAATATATTTTAATATGTGTTTAGTTTATTATATATATATGGAATTATATAGCGTGATACTACTCCAATATTATGATATTTTAGCAAGATAAATTTCATAAAGAAACAATTAAAATATTGATATGATAATAATGAAAGAGAATTTATGTATGATTTATTCGTTCTTCCATTTTTTTTTCTTTCTTTCTTATAATCTGTTCATATGTTCTTAAAATAATGATTATAGCACAAATATGACATGAAAACTTCATATCTGGCAAAAATATAAATTGCTCCCAACTTGGCTATAAACAATAAGTAAAACAGTATAATTCCAAGAAAGAGCCTCATAATAGCACACAATTTATTATTATTATTATTATTATTATTATTATTATTATTATTATTATTATTATTATTATTATTATTATTATTATTATTATTATTATATTATTATTATTATTATTATTATTATTATTATTATTATTATTATTTTATATATATATAGATCATGTTAACATATATTGTACTATTATAAAATACAAAATTGCCAAATAAATGCCTTTTGAAGAATATATCAACAAATATGAAAATTTTACTAAATGAAAATTTTTATGAATTAGATTTTTTTTTTCTTTTTTAAGCAACGAATGACTAAAATATAATAATTAGGATTTAAAACAATCTACAATATAAAATATTATGAAAAATTATTTATTTTCATCAAGGATAGGAGAGTGATTTTACATAGATGAAGCCATTAGTTACGTCAACTGAATGTACAAAATTTGTTATTAGATAAATATAGTCCCTAAAGAACGCGCGACAAAGAAAGTATTAATATGTATATCGCATTAACATGCTTCTTTAAAAAACATGTTTTCCAGTCTGTCATGTAGTATCTTTGAGCACATACGATCTTTCGATCTCTGTGAAATACTACAAAATGACAACTTGTATAAAATCCTTCCATGTATCGGTTTAATCCATCTATGATAATAACGGCACTTCATAAATTAGACCGAACATAGAGAAGAACTATTGTCACAAAAAAAAAAAAGCAGTATTACAAACTCAGTATATTTATATATATATATATATGTATATATATGTATATATTATGCATGATATTAGAGAGATTTATTAAAGATGTCTCTGCTTTTATCCGTAAAAAAAATAACATGCATCCAGTTGGCAGTAGAAAAAAAAAGAAAAAATTATAAAAAAAAAAAAAAAAAAAAAGGAAAAAACAACTTTGTTGACTTATTCATCTAAATGAATTACTAAATAATTTACTAAAAAGAAACATTACAGGGCATGTGCGTAAACTTAATTCACAAAATTTACTATTATATTAAATATTTTTTTATATTATTTACCTCAAGATCATCTTTACGTGTTTCGAAATATTTCTTCTTTATAATTATGTTCTTCATGCTTGATAGCATAAAACAATTTAAGGCTGCTTTAGCAACTTTGAAAATTTTTCTTCAATCGACAACTACCCATCATAACGATCGATTGCTATTTTTCATTATAATATTTTGCGACCCATCCTAAATTGAAATTTTGCGTTAGTATTATTAATGAAAGTAACTTAAAAAAAAAGAAAAAAAAAAAAAGAAAAGAAAAATCAATTTAATAGGTAAGTAATATTTGCATATTACAATATATTAATTATAAGAGATAACCAAACGAATTGATATTAATTTTTTTTTTTTATTATAAGCTTTAGAAACGATAAAAACCGTCTACGCTTAAGCTAAAACATAGCATTTTGTGCTACTTGTTTATTATATGAAATAGAAGGCAACTATATTATTTTGATCATAATTATTCATCTTGATATACATGATTAAATTGTAAGAATATATCTTCAAGCTTCCTAATTAGAGATTTTATTTAATCTGATCTTCCTAAAAGTATGAAATAATTAAAAGTCAAATAGATCTCGTTGATTATTATGCAATAGATGCAATCTTAAACATAAATAGAAGAAATAAATAAAATAGTACCGAATATCATGGTGTGTGTGTGTGTGTGTATATATATATATATATACAGAATTGGATACTTAATACGAAATACTTCTTATCTTCATATCTTCATTGTTGGCAAGACATGAAAATATTTCAAGTACCCTATCCGATAGACGATAAGTTAAGCATTATTCGTGTACACATTGACCTTTTGATTATGATGAAATTAATATATTGCAGATTCCTATATTGTCTTTTTTTTCTTCGACAGATGGATCGCAAAAAAGAAAAAAAAAAAGAAAAAAAAAAGAGAGAGAAAGAGAGAGAGAGTATTTATTCCTTTAACATTCAGATGATGAATTTAAATTTGGTGGAGATATTTTCTTGGTTTGTGTAAGACGATCTAATTCCGCTGCCGCATCATTGCACATTGTTGCCTTATCTACAGGTGTACTATCTGAAATATATAAATTTTATTAATATATTATGTCAAGCAATAGCATATAATTGGAACTAACTACGCACCAAGCTTAACAGGACTCGCACCTATACTTCCTGGTGATCCTGGGACACCCGGTGGTGTAGCAGTCTTTTTATAAAGAAGAGAGTTGAAGAAATTAGCTAATACACCCTCTCCTGCAGCGGTAGTACCGGTACCTTTAGAATCCAATTTCTTGTTTGGCGATGCAACCTATTCATGAAAAATTTAGTAGCCGTGCTTAAAGAGACTATATGCAATCTTATGCTCATGAATAACAGATTATACCACATGGATTAGAACATGCTTTTGAACGTTAACTGCAATAAGCTCATGATGATCCTATTTCATGTTGCTGAGATGCAAACAGCAAGGACTCTTGAACATTAAATAATACAAACATAAAAGAAGATTGGTATGTATACGTGTATGTATATGTGTATGTGTTTCTGATGAAAAATATTACATGTATTATAAATTTATATACGAGACAAATGTTAGTCCCTATTTATCAAATGACATAAGCAATATTTAATGATGAAAATAACAATTTTAAATCTCTTTACAATGAAATACAAATATAAACATAGAAATATTAGGTAAAGTAGATGGATTTGATGGGGAAAAGCATAAAATGTAAAAAATGATAGTTGCACATATAAAACTGGACTAAGTAAACTTCATGGAAAAGCATTATGTAATGATAATGCTAAACACAAATACATTGGATTTTCCTAATACTTTCACAATCGTATTGAATCAATAATAAGTATAATAAATTTTTGTTAAGCAAAATGAAAAGGTATTTATAAAAAAAAAAAAAAAAAAAAAAAAAAGAAAAAAAACTGTTTTTCACTTGATGAACAAAAATACATAGACAGGAACAAAAATCGATCCACAATATTATTTATTGAAATTAACTTAATAAATTAATATTATTATATTACCATTGTATATAACTTCAGGATCTTTAGTTAATAATATGCAAAACGAGGAGCATGCTCTAATTATAAATGGTACAACCTGTATAACTGGGCCGAGGCTTGCCTGGTTCCTTGTTGTAGGTGAACGTGTTGGATCCTTCAAACCTGATGACGTAGCTTGTTGTCTTGCTAAAAATGCTTGTTCATCTTCCGCTTGAACTTCTACTTCCCTTGCCACACACTATAATTATATTTATTGATTTTATAGATTCCCATGGATGATCATATCATAGCAATATATTAATAATTATAATAATAATAATAATAATAATGATAATAATAATGATAATAATAAAAATAATTAAATGAAAAATATACAGAAAAATTCACCTTTCTATTTGTCGCAGGTTGTGTAATAATATCGCGATAATAATCGTTCGGTTTCATCGATTGTAAATTTTCATGAAGGATGCTGATCTTTTTCATATTATCCCAACCAGCAGGACTACGATATTTCAAAGATACATGTAACACTGCAAAAGTTGTTTTTTCTTTTCTTTTTTTTTTTTTATTTCCCCAGACAAATATAAATACTTACATAAGAACTGCATCTTTTTCAACCACTAAAGCAGGCGTTCTGAAAGGTAATGAATAAATTCTATGTGTAAGGTATTTATACAATAGATCACAGTTTTTATCTTCTTTTACTGATGTATAGAAAAGACCTGCACCATATTGCAAACAGAATCGCCTAATCCATTGTTGCATAAAATCAAAATCTTCATCTCTGAAAGCACAATATCAGTATCATAATAAAATGTTATATTTGTTTACAGAGAGAGAGAAAAAAAAAAAAGAAAAGAAACAAAAAAAGAAAAAAAAAGAAAAAAAAATCTTAAATATATTTTTATAATTTAAATTATTCCTTACTTATAATCGTGTTCCTTCTCAAGGGTAGACATGTAATCAGTTTTAGTTATAACCACGACAATGTCTAGGCCTAAATTGGTTGTAAGTACACCTTCTGGTAAAGGTAAATTATCAGTTGTTTCGTCATCAAGATTACGACTAGTACGTCTCAAAGGACTTCCTGGATCTAGTTCATCACCAGGTTCGGTATACTCTTGCCATTTTTTAATGTCTGATTGAAACAAATCCTTTCATAAATCTACATATTCCTCAAATATTCTATATACTTGGATTAATGCAACATAATGTATAATGAAAAACAATAATAATGATCACTTACTTTGTTGCCTGCATCGTTGCCTAGAATCATTATCTATAGATAATTTATCAACATGATCGCCTAATAAAGCAGCCCATGCCTGTAATTGATCAAGAATAGCCCATGGCGTGGTCATTGCGGCTACTAACATAACAAGCGTGTGCGGAAATCTTTCTGCATTTAACGCGAATCTCAGCAAATTAGCGTGACCTGGATCACCATCCAAGACCCACACGGATAATCTTGTTTGATCTATAAAAAAAAAAAAAAAAAAAAAATTTATGTTACAAAATTTGATAACTTATCCTCAAGATAGTGACTTTAAAAAAAAATATATATATATAAAAATTGTAAACCTACCATCTCTATAATCATCTCTTACATCGATATACGCAAACTCTAAACCAGAACCTTTTTTTGGATCTTCCACTCCTTGTAATTTTGCGATAAGAGTTGTTTTACCACTTTCGTTGTCACCTAAAAATAAATAATAAAATTTGTCTTTATGGGTATCAGTAAAGTGATGATGTCATCATTATTTCTAACTCTTATGATGACACATAAAGAACGACAAATAATCAAGGGAAATAAATTTCATATTCTTTCTCACTCTAATAGGGACACACTTACTTAGTATGCATTCTTATATATACACACTTAGCATGCACGACGAGTCGGCGTTAAACGTTACATTTAAATATAATCAGCAAATTACAATTTACCTAAGACAAGGACATTCTTGTTCGATGGCAGTTTGTTATTTCCGCTATTCTGTACCTCTGCTAGAATAGAGGACCTGTAAAATATATTAATCGAAAATATTTATTTCGAAACGATTACTCATTTTTTCTGCATGCGAACATGTGTAAAATATTACGAGCATACATACGAAAAAAAACGAAAAGGGGAAAAGAAAAGAAAAGGGAGAAAAAGAATCATTAAAATTAACGTGATAAGTAGATTAGAAATATTTATCGATGATTAATCATTGAACGTACCACAAATTGTCTTTATTTTCTGGATCTTCTTTCTTTTTCGATTGAAATCCATTACTTTGTGCCATCGTATCAATCATCGTCGCTGCCATTATCCATTTGACAGAAACGAAATGCACTATCGATTGTGCGCAGAAAGCGGGTGCGGTTCGTAACTAACTTTATTTCTTACCGATCGTCGCTTTTTCATATGAATGCAAATAATACGAAGATTATTCTAGTAGGACATTTGTCGTCTGATGTGTATTATGAAAAAAACAAAAAAAAAAAGAAAAAAGAAAAAAAAACAAAAAAAAATAAAAAAAGAACTACTTTAGTTCTTCATAAATATATGTATACGAATATGTGAATATCAATCTGATATATTATTCTCTGTCGTTTCACTCTACATTATCGGCAATTCTAACACAGTTCGTTTCATTTCAGAAAATAAATCATAGAGGGCATTCGATTGCAACGTAAAAATTAACGTTACCTAGAACATGTAACATCTTATTAATTTTATAAACTTTGTTTATAACGATCGTGATAGAATTGTACGACGTTTTAAATCTCGATTTGTTACAATGTTAATCTCAAGAAGTTTAAATTTTTTGAAGCACACGTCGAAACATGTGAGGAGGAAAAATATTGTAATGAATAATCAACCTGTTCGATTTTCATCACATGGAGAGTAAGTACCATTATGTTACATAATATTTTATTAAGGTTATGTTAATTTTTGATTTATAATTGATAAAATAAAAAAGGCTATTCATCACTTCTAATTTTATCATGGTTTACGTCAAAAATGAGAATAAACGTAATTCTTGATCGATTTTGGCGAATGAGATCTCATTTTAAAGACAAAATTTTCATCCAGGAATCTCCTTTTTTGAATTTTTTAAAAAGTTTTTTATTTCTGCATAAATTGTTCTCTGAAAAAAATATCATTCTTTGAGACGATTTTTCTGAAGGAAAATAAAGTTTTCAAAAATTCGAGAAATCGAGGTTACAGGTTAAACTTTCGTCCTTGAAATGAGACCTTGTTCATTAAAAATTGATCAAGAATTACACCTGTCTCTCATTATTGGAATAAATCCTGTTTTTGTGACATTTCTTGCGAAAGAAAATTTTTTTAATGTGGCGCCCCTCGACATTTGTGGCAAAAAAAATAAGCTCTCACTATTGATTTCCATATATACGTTCGAATAGTATAATAATATATCATAGTAGCAATTATCTGCTTGCTTGTCACATGTAATAGATAATGCTCAAATTTTCTAAACCATTTGAAACGCAAAGAAATCCATTTTATTCGTGTATTGTGCTCGTACGAAGAAGCTACAGTAACTCATTCGATAACTTTAATGAGCTTTAAACAAATGATTCTACGGGAAAAAAAAAAGAAAAGGAAGGAAATACCCATTCGATCGTTCATGTTAAAATATTATTAAATTACGAAAAAATGTATAATTCCTTTTATATTTTATAGAATAGAAACGTAGAGATTCTATAAATAATGTGTAACATATTGAGAAGCATCCAAATTCATAATTTAAAAATAACAGGTTAGAGGAGGTTAAATTCCAATGATTTTTTTTTATCGTATCGATGTGAATTAAAATAATCTTTCTTTGACATGAATTTCACGGTGATCTGCGCTAAATTGGATATAGTACCGATACAATTTAATTTGATGACAAATGTATATAGAAAATACATATATTTATTCATTATTTCTTCAAAAATAATAATTAGTGAATATACATTTATATATTATATACTATTTTTATAAAGATCAAAAGACGAGTTCATTTCCATGTTATCTATGAGATTTTAACCTCTTGCACTATTTCTTTTATGATTTTCTCTGTAAAATTAATCCACTTTATATTATTACTAATATTGATATTATGCAATAATAATATAATAAATATTCACTAATTATTTTATCAATGTCAATTATGTTCTCTTATATTCTCAATATTATTCTTTATGCATTTATTGAGAAATAAAAGCATATCGACATCGTTAGATCACTGCAAAACGGAACATTACTTACTTTAACCTAACAAAATCAATTGTTATATACGCGTGAGAGGTTATACGTAACACAAACTTGTACACTGATACGACGATAAACGCATAATGAGAACAGCGTTCCCCGCTTGTGTTTGTAGTTCCTATTTCAGCCATACGTGTCGCTGTAGTCAAACACGCATCGAACGAAAACGTGTAATGTAAACAACCGTGTAAGGTTTATGATTATGATCCTATTAAGATCATATTCAAAATATATAAGATATCTATTTATCAATAAATTCAGTAACTTTTAATACAATTATTACTATTCTTTTCTTTTTAGCATGTATTACTTTATATTATTTATATTATTTAAATATCCTCTTCTCAAATTTTTAGATGGTCTTATAGAGAAATAACCAAAGAACCAAATAAATATTTTACATTAGGAGCTGAAGTTCTTGGCGGCATTGCATGGTGGTGGTTTTTATATAGAATGTGGCACGATTATCAACATCTTATTGTAAGTAATGTGATATATTTTATGACTTTCAATATTTATTAAAAATTCTATTAATCTATCTAAATGATATCTGAGATAATATTTTTTAATAAATTGAAAGAAAGAAATAATTCAATTATTTCAATGTTATATGCTTAGGGACATTTTGAATATCCAAATCCATCAAAGTGGACAGATGAAGAATTAGGAATACCACCAGACGATTATGATTGATCAACAGTATATTTCTGTAGATAATTTATGTTTTCTATTCTGTCAATAAATCTGAGTAACAAGATAAACCTTTGCCTAGGATTCTAAAATAGTAGGTACACTACTATAAAAATAAAGTGGAATTATTTGTAGTACAATTGTATAGTAAATTAATAAACTTGTACTACTTATAAAAGTTGCTATTAAGAGCACTTTATTCAATAATATTTATACACCATATAAACCATATAAATCTAATTATTATTTTGTTTATGTCTAATTAAAAATCAATACAAAAAAAAACATTTCAAGATTTAATTGTTATGCTTTACATGCATGTATATATATATATATATATGATATTATTTAATTACATGTTGGCACTCTAATAGAAATTGTTTTAGTTTCAAGGTATTCTTTTAAACCTTCTTCTCCCCTGAAACATACATTGTAATCATAATATTTTATTTTAAAGATTTTAGTTTGATAATAACTTACATTTCACGCCCTATTCCTGACTTCTTGTATCCACCGAATGGTGTTTGTGGTGTTATAACATCATAATGATTCACCCTAAATTAGAATACCATTTTATACACTATTCATCATTTTTCTTCATGCATATTAGTAATTATAAATTATTATATGGATGAACATAATAATATAAAAAATTATTATTTTCGTACCAAATACTTCCAGCTTCCACTGCTTTTGCAAATGTTATTGCTTTATCAATATTATTAGTTAATATACCAGCAGCAAGACCATACGTAGTTTTATTAGCACGTTCAATAACTTCTTCCATAGTATCAAACTTCAAAATACATTGTACCGGACCAAAAATTTCTTCAGTAGCAATTTTCATTTTATCCGTTACATTGGAAAAAACGGTAGGCTTTTAACATAATTACAATTTCAGATTTTAGAAAATTGTAAAATAAACAACAAAATATATAATAATTTAATGAAATAAAATATCAATACCTTTATAAAAAAGCCAACATTACCATAACGTTCGCCACCTGTTTCCAATACAGCTCCTTCCTCTTTTCCAGAATTTATAAAATGCAAAACTTTATTAAACATCTTTTCATCAACTTGTGGTCCCTGTTTTGTTTCAGAATTAAAGGGATCTCCAACTTTTATTTTAAGAGCTAATTGTTTTGCATAATCTACAAATTCATCGTATATCTTTGATTGTACAAATGTACGTGACCCAGCACAACAACTCTGACCATGATTTGCAAATATAGCATCATGGGCTATCGCAGCAGCTTCCTTAACTAAAATATTTTTATTCAATCTGTGTTTTTCTTTGATACGAATTTAATTCATAATAATTATTTATATATATATTTACCATCAAAGTCATCAAAGATAACAAGTGGACTTTTACCACCTAATTCAAGACTCACTCGTTTGAGATTACTTTTGGCAGAAGCTTCCATGATAAGGTGGCCAACCTAAAAATAACATGATATTTGATTGTAAAATTTAAAGATATTACACAAAATGATAAAAATACGATAATTACTTCAACTGATCCTGTGAAAGTGACTTTGTTAATATCTGGATGTTTAGCTATAGCAGCTCCTGCCGTTTTTCCATATCCTGTAATAATATTAACAACACCAGGTGGAAATCCTGCCTCTTTGATTAATGCAGCTGTATACAAAGCACTTAATGGGGTTTGTTCAGCTGGTTTCAGAACAATGGTACAACCTGCAGCTAAAGCCATAGCAAATTTCCATGCTAACATCATAAATGGATAATTCCATGGGATAATTTGACCAACGACTCCTACTGGTTCCTTACGTGTAAATACAATACAAGAACCATCTAGAAAATAATAGTATCAGAAAACGATTATTTTTTTCTAATATATATATATATGTATATAAAGATAATATAATTTTTAATATAATATTATTGAATTTACCTGCAGGAATAGTTTGACCATGTATTTTATCAGACCATCCAGCGTAATAACGAAGCACATCTATGCTACATTTTATATCATTAACAGCATCAGCATATGTTTTTCCATTGTCAATTGTGTCAAGACTTGCTATATAATTTAAGTCTCGCTGTACAAGATCCGTAAACTGAATACAGATACAGAACAGTATATTTATGAAGAATATTATATAATTATATACATTTATAACTAATATATTAAAAACACATAAATAATAATACTTTGTGTATAAGCTTTCCTCTGAATGATGCATCCATTGTTCTCCATTCTGAACATCTTGAAAATGCTTTTTTTGCAGCTGCTACAGCTTTATTAACATCAGCCTATCGATGAAGATACGTTAAAAATTTTTCACTTTGTAAATCTTAAATTTGTTAAAAAAAAAAAAAAAAAAAAAGAAAGAAAAGAAAGAAAAAAAAATTTCGATAATACCTCGTCACCTTCAGAAATTTGAGCGATTACTTCCCCATTAGCAGGATTTATGGTCGAAAATTTTTTTCCACTTTCAGCATCCACAAATTCATTGTTAATGAACAACTATTAATTTTAACAATTAATAATAATACTAATAATTTTATATGATTACTTTTAACTTCTATCGATTAAAATATTCATTTACCTGGGTATATTTAATATTGACTTTCGAAATCGACATGATTATATACTTTATATCATTAATTTCTTCTGATGTTTAATTCGACGAATACCACTGAAATTCACAGTGAATAATGAATAAGAAACCTTCCTTATATAATCGAAGAAAATATACCTATATATATTACTTAGAGATAATAAAAATAAAAAGAAACATATCGCTAATAAGATAAAATTTATTAAGGAACCATAATTGTATGAATTTCTTTCTCTCTCTCTCTCTCTCTCTTTACATATTTACATATGTCAATTATTAATGATATAAAAAATATTAGATTGGAAACTATGAAACGGGCGTTGAATGAAAATAAAACTAAACCATAACACCTGTTTCATAGTTTCCAACCTAATATATATAAATAAAAAAAATATTTTGATTTCTTAGATTTTTTTGATAGATCAATAATAACATAACCTTAGAAACAGACGAAAAATAGAATTTTAGACAATTACATTTTTCGATCATCATAATTATTGTCTTCAGATAATATATATACAAGTAATAAATAAAAATTATTATTTCAATACCTTTTCTTTTTGTACTAATTGTTTATTGAAAGTAATAAATAAGGAAGAGAAAAGGAAAAAAAAGAAAAAAAAAAAGAATTAAAAAATGCTAAACGTCGAAGAGAAAAATCCATGCGATGATTTACAAATCGATGAACGCGTTATAAAAGAGGTATATTTTATTAATAATCATGGTATATCTTAATTGTACTTATGCAATTATCGTAGAACAGAAGTGTCCAAACTTACTTTTGAGTAAAAAAAATATTTTTTTCTTGAAAAAAATTTTATATTTTAATATTTAACTCTGTCCCATCGTAGTTTGCTAATTTTTTTTTTAGAATATAAAAGAAAAAATAATTTATATATATACATATATATATATATATGTATATTATCATTTATAGGATAAACTTCCTTGTCCTATGATGGAAGAAGTTCAAAAGGAGCCAAATGAACAAAAAATAAATCCAATGTACTTACCTCAACCAGGAGATGAACTTCCAATGAAAGATGAAGGACCAATGGATGCAACTACTCCATGGGCAACAGGTCAAGTTACATATACTCCACAGGCTGGTATAACAGGTTTACGACCTGTTGCGGATCGTTATTCTATAACTAGATTTGGTCCAAGCGAATGGAGAGCACACAATCATACATTTTTTCAACAATCGGACGAAAATATTCAAAAAGCTCAGTACGTCGTGAATGATCAAAAAGTCGTCTTTTTTTTTTTTTTTTTTTTTTTTTTTTTTTTTTTTTTTTTTTTTTTTTTTTTTTTTTTAATTATTAGCCTTTGCTATTACTTTGCTATTACTTTGCTATTAATTTACATTTCAACCGTTTTTAATAATATAAGATATTAAAACAATACAAGGTAATTCTCATATCTTTTAATCCTTCAGTTATTAAATACTATACACTTGAGTAAATAGAAATATAAGATCATATTTTGCTTTAAAGGCACGCTTGTATATAATAGATTGTTATCTGTATTTGAACTTTGTTTATAACAATTGTAAGGTAACTGTTATTTGTAGATAAAAGTGCAAGTAATATTTTACACTGTGTTTACAATCCAAATAAATAGAGTTTTGCAAGATAAGAAAAAAAGAAAAAAAATAAAAAAAAATATAGGTAAAATAATATGAAAAATAACAGTGAAAAATATTTATTTTAGACATGCTACTTTTGCCGCAAAACAATGTATTGAGAGAGTATACAGAGAGGCTGATAAAGTCCAATTAGAAACAACGGATCATTTAAGGACACGAGCAAATGTTGTCTATCGATGGAAATTAGAATTAGATAATGCGCTTCAAAATATTACCGAAGAAATAACATTATTAGAAGGGGAAAGACGTAGAGTAAAACAATCTCTATCGGTTATAACTATTCCCGAATCTATAGCTGGTGAATTTTTACAATTACGTGGTACTCGTCTCGAATCTGACCTCGTTAAGGATAACGTTGAGAAAGAGCTTACAAAGGTTATTAACTAAAATATATCTTTCTTTTTTTTTCTTTCTCTTTTTTCTTTCTTTCTTTCTTTCTTTTTTTTTTTACACACAATTTTTTTAACACACAAATATGATTGCGTACATTGAAGTTGCTTGAAATTATATCTTAAAAAATATTTATCCGACAAATCCTTTTTATTTCAAATATTGTTAATTGTAAAATGAACATATTGTAAATGTGTATGAGTGTGTATACGTGTATATATCATATTGTATATAAGATATACAATTCAGAACATAATAATTAACATTTCTTTAACTTAATATTTAATACAATCGAATTACATTTCCAATTTGATCTTTTTCTTTTTCTTTTTGTATTTTTTCTTTTTTATTTCAATGATTCTTTACTTTCTTTATATATAATGCAAAGATCAGTCTTTTTGTAATAACGGTATTAACGCTTGTACTTTTGATTATCATCAATTAATATTAAGATTAAGATTAAGAATACAGAGTAAAAAATGTTTTTGATCGCCGTCACTCATTCTATTATATTATGTTTTTCAATGGTTTTCTTTTTTTTTCTGTCATATACAGGAAGTAGCACTTTGCTCGGAAATACGTGATTTGCTTAATAGGACTCGTGAACAAATAGAAATGCAATTAATCGAATTGAAGGCAGCTAAAGCGCGAATGGAAAATGATTGGACCGATAAAATCGATGCTTATAAAATTGATAATAATTGTATCAAAATGAATAATGAATCACCTCTCATATTGTGGAAGCCCGGTGCTACAAGATTTCCAGCCGAGTAAGTTACATCAATGGAATATATAATATAACGATATTATCTATCGTTCATAAATTTCTAATATCATTATTAGACAATCAACACCAGCGAGTTACGAACATTTTACACGAGAAACATTATCCGCCGGTGAAAACGTGAGACAAAGATCAATGACTCTTCGTTCGACTTTAAGTGATATTTATAAAAAATCGCTGAAAGATCTACGCGATCAGGCGAGTCAGGTGGATATTGCGTTAGCTGCACAAATCAATCTAACAGAAGGAATATGTCAGCAGTTAGAAAAAGAATTGCAAAGGGTATTGACTATAATATTTCGCATAAGTTATTATAAGTTACTATAGGAAGAAAATTGTTTTAGTGTTTACAGGAACTCGCGAATACAGAAAATTTGATCGAAGAACTTCGAGGATCCACGAAGGGTTTGGATAATGCAATGAAATTGGCACAGACACGTTTATCGGAACGTCTATTACGACGTAACGTTGAGAGTTGTCGCGATGTTCCACAATTCGCGTAAGTTATATATAGAGAAGAAGATAATCTATTTTATTCCTCTTATTAAGAATAATTAAGTTATAAATCGCGAGTAAGAGTATATATTATAATTTTCTTTCAAAAGGCTCGTAGATGAAGTTAAATCTCTGGGAGAACGCGTTACTGCCACTCTAGGCGAACTAAAAAGTGCCGAAGATACACAGGCTGGCTTGGTCAAAGCTAGAGGTGATTTAGAACGTGAGATATTAATTAAACGAAAAACTTTGTATATAGACAGACAACGTGGACAATTACTTCGTTCATTCTACCCTTCAGCTGCAGCGCTTTCAGGATTCTAAATGATCTATGCACACGTATATTAATGATATAATTGCCATATTAGTAAGTCCAAAATTCCGTTATTCAAAATTAAAACAATTTACATTATAATCATTGTTAAAATTATGATAGTGATAATTACAGAATAGATCATAACAAATATCCTCTGTGCTTGTGTGTCTATGTTGCTTCGAATGTAAAAGTACGTTCATAAAATATACAAATCACCAAGCTTTGATCATAAATCTTCATAATACACATTTCTTAGAGATATTTCCTACTATGTTTATGACGATAATAATAACAATGTATGCAATTATAGTTCATCGTGAGATCGTAAATGATTCATGACAAATCCATAGAGATCGTCGAGATTACGGGGCCCATTATACTCTGAAACTTTACGACCATTTCGATATAAGTACAATGTCGGAAAACCATCTACTTCTTGTTCATAACACAACTGCTTGCTTGTATTAAGTGTACAATCCACTTTGGCTATATGCACATTTTCATTAGCAAAAAATTTTCTACCAAGCTCTTCCCAAGTTGGTGCGAGACGTTTACAATGTCCGCACCAAGGTGCAAAAAATTTAACAAATGAAACACCTTTTTCTACACTGTGTTCAAAGCTATCACCTGTTAAACTCAATACATTATGAATGGTACTATCCGAGCTTCTATCTTTATTCAAAGACTGTTCTGCACTTTTTTTAAGCATCGCTGATACATAAGCCTTCAAATCTTCATGAGTTCTTTGACCAGTATACTTATACATCTAAAAAAAAAAAAATATATATATATATAAACTTATGACTGATTTTATTTTCTTAAGATATTATTCTTTTATATGAATGACATTTTTACCTTCTTTCCATCTTCTATCCAAAGTAAAGTTGGATATCCTTTTATATCAAATTCCTCACATATACTTCTAAATGAAGTACAATCTACTTTGGAAATACTAACAGAATCATCATTACGAAGACTGTTAGCTAATTCTTCCCATGTTGGAGCCAATTTTTGACAATGGCCACACCAAGGCGCATAAAATTTAATAAAGTGATGACCTTTCTCAACATGAGAATGAAATGATTCTTCCGTTAATTCAGATAAACCATTCACCGGTTCTGGAGGAGAAGGTGTATTATCTTCTACCTAATTAAATTATTACATATATCTATAATTATAAATCAGATACTATTATAACAAAATATATAATATAATATATTATAAAGTAAAAAATTAGTACCGTTGATACGCCTCCTAATTGATCATTGATAAAAAACGTTAACGAAGGTAAATCTCGTGTCCCTCTAAACTTAGTACCTTTGGATTCTCCTGCTTTGAAGAACTTAAGTCTGTAATCAACATCCATGAAAGTATGTCTATTGAAATTTTTAAAAAACAATTAAAAATTAATTTTATCAAAATACATACGTTGGATAACCAGTAACATCGTGCTCGCTACAAAGAGTACTGTCAATGGTACAATCGACTTTTGCTATTTTTATATTACTATCTCCTTCGTTGTACATTTCAGCTAATTGTGCCCATGTTGGGCCTAATCTTTGGCAGTGACCACACCTAAAAAAAAAAAAATATATATATAATAAATTACACTAAGCGAACAAGAATATATAATAATATTTTTAAAAAATACGAGACATATAAATTTAAGTAAAAATTAAAAGAAGAAAAAAAAGAAAATGTATGTATATATGTATATATATTCTTTGCATACCAAGGTGCATAAAACATCACAAAGCTATTCTTTTTTTTGATTTCATCCAAAAATGTCTCTTTTGTATATTGTATCGTGTGCATATCGTCTTCATGTCCACTGCTGACTTGACTCAGCATAAATAAAAGTAGATAAATTTGTTTTCTTAAAATAAAAAAATTTACGAGATTCGACGACATGATTAATAAATTATTTATATTTTAAAAAAGGGACACCGTTAAAGTGCGCACAGAAAGACGGATTTCTTTGAAAATAATTTACGTAAAAAAAGAAAAACTTTTAATTCAAATATAACACATCAAGTTTTCTTTCACACCACAAATTATAAATTATAATATAACACATCTACCATTAAACAATTTAATATATAAATCTTTGTTCACTTTAAAAATTCATAATTAGAAATATTATTGAAACACGAATGAACGTGAAGACAATTGTTGTGTTTTTTTTTTATATTGTCGATACACTTTTAATAAATGTTTAGTCAAATTTCTACGAGTGGTAGAGAAAACCGATCGAAACCGCCCAATCCGCCTCCCACATGACGCGATATTGTTATGTCGTATTCAAACTGCTGTTTCACGCCCCCTTTGAACGCCCCTCTCTTCAATAATTAGAAAAGATACGATAAAAATTTTCATTCGTTCTTCATAATAGTATCTATTCAACAAAAGATCAATCGTTGTTACAAAATAATCAACAAGATATTGAGAGAGAGAGAGAGAGAGAGAGAGAGAGAGACAGAGAGAGAGGGAGAGAGAGAGAGAGAAAGAGAATTTTTATATTTCTTTTTAAATTATAAAGTTAAATCCACGTGTATGAAATTGGATTTTAGAAATGACGTAGATTTAATATTAACCAATCAGAACAACGTATTCTATCTCTGAAAATAACATTTAAATGTTATATATCTTCTCCTTTGTTATAATAATTATTCGATTTATTCATTGTCTATGAAATAATAAAAATGTTTAGATATTTTGAAAAGAATAACAATGAAAAATAATTTTTGGACAGAATTTACATACGTATATATGCAAGTCTATGGGCAAGTGACTCACTGTGACACTTTAATTATCATAAAGCAGAAGGTGAAACAACGTTAATGTAGGATTATTAGAAAACAAAAAAATTAAAAAAACGAGACGCATTTACTTTAACACCCATTGCGTAATTAGTCAACAAGCTTAGATATGTGATAGATAAAAAATGAGTAAGAGTAAAAAAAAATTTAATCATTGTGCTGTGTTTAAGCAACGAACGAAAAATGACGATAATGCTGAATTATCGAATTCTATGATTCTATGTGCAAGAAAAACTGGTCAACTTAATCTCTCGTCGAGAGGATTATTTACTGGTATTTATATAAAACACGTCTGATAGATTTAGTAAATATAGTATAATTTGTTCGAACATCACTGTTTATGTGATTATATGATAGAAATAGCTGTTTCAGGCATGTTCAAGAATATCAAATATCGCTTCGTCAATGTATTGTGCCACTCATGCATGTGTGTCTCCATTCAGAGTGTAGGTATCATGATCGTTAAAATTTTTGTGGAAAAAAAAAATTGAATGCTTTGCGTAGATTTTTTCAGATCATTTATGCTAAGTGTTTTACAAATTTTTGTTACTTTTATATATATATATAAAATATATATATATATATATATATATATATATATATATATATATATATATGTGAATAGATATTTTAAGTAGAAATTTAATACGTCTGATAAATCTGATAAATATATCTCTACAGAATTTTAAGAATATATTATTAAAATAATTTACGTTTAAATTTATTGAACAGTTTACTAATTGTACAATTATTATACGATAGATTAGTTCAATCATGCCTATACACTCATTTAGTTTTGAAGTTCTTGTTTACAGATTTCGATGATTAATCAGCATAATGCTTTGTTAGTATTAATATTCGCAATCAAGAAATTATTGTGTATTTTATAATATTCTTTAAAATAAATATCCCCTCAAAAAACATTGTCTTTAATTTTTTTATGTTCAATAGTCTCTATAATATAATTGTATCTAGTTGTGTAATCATTTTTATTATATAAGAAATATTCAGAAATATAACAATTTTATAATATTGAATATTTAATTGGCTTGTTAGCATGCTTTTATGCACTTGCATTAATTAAATGTGTCATAGATTAATGTGTCAGTTCTCTCATATATAAATCATATCTTCAAGGTAAGTTATATTTTATTATTAATTATTTACTTCATATAATTGATTAAATTTCATTCAATGTTTACAATTTATCATTATTGCGCAGTTTATTATAAAGAATATATTAGTTTTAATTTAATTAAAATATTCTACATTAAACAATGAACAATTATATTCAAGAAAACTTATTATATTTATATTAAATTTAAGGATTAATTAGGATCGATGAAATGAAATTTCAATGTTCACATTAGCATTACTTAATTAATACTTTTCAGTACCAAATAGGGTATGGACTATAAATGAGTTAACAGAGGATGAATTAAAAAAATTAAATTTTGAACTTGATTATGATGAAACAGAGCAGCGATGGTGGGAACAAGAATCTTTAAAAAAATTAGACTTAAGTTGTAATAGTCTAATTACTATTGATGCACAAATAAAGAATTTAAATGATCTTATTGAACTAGATGTACGTATATCGATTATTGAATATTTAAAAAATACAAATAATTTATTACACTAATATATGGAAAAATGAAATGTAAATAATATGATTAAGTCATAAAATATTATAGTTAATTTTTATAAATATTACACCTAATTTTAAACAGTTACACAGCAACTTATTACAAAAATTGCCAATGGAAATAGGAAATTTAACTAAAATGATGACTTTAGATTTATCGCATAATAAATTGGAAGTACTACCTATTCAATTTTACCATCTTCTGGAATTACGTAATTTAAACTTGAAGTACAATATTTTAAAAGAGCTTGATACTGGAATTACTGATTTAATAATGTTAAGCCATTTGGTAAATTCATGATAAATAGTATTAAAATATTTAACATATTTATGCATATAATAAACAATGCTATATATACAGGATTTATCTCATAATAATTTAATTGAATTACCCATTGGAATGGGATACCTTGTTAGATTGATTTTTCTGGATGTAAGCTATAATTCCTTACAAAATTTACCACCTGACATAATGAGTATGAGAGGTGAGTTGAATCTTCAATATACTATTAATATCATACAGAAAAGACATTAAATATATTAAAGAATATTCTCTTTTACATAGCATTACAAACTTTGATTGCAAATTCTAATGAATTGAAAGAATTACCATCTTTAAGTGAATTAAAAAAAGTTGAAACAATAATGTTTCAAAATAACAAATTAATAATATTTCCTGATTTATCTGGATGTGTCGCATTGAAAGAACTTTATTTATCTGAAAACAATATTGTTGTATGTATTTTTGAAATACTATTTGAC